CTCAGACTGACACAAACTGGCCTCTGCAAGTCTAAATAAGTCAGTTTCCACTGCTTTGAGTACTTGTTCAATTCAGACAATCTTTGCTGTGAAGAAGGGCTCTGTTCTGTCCACCTGCCTACCTTTCTCTAGCTGTGCTGTCAGTCTGCTCTGACACAGGCACAGCAAAAAACAAATAAAAGCTCTGAGCTCTGCTTCCACAATGAGTCTGGGGTAGAGGAGAAATCTGATTACTGGTCTGCCATGTGTAAAAGTGGCTTATCAGTAACCAGGTTAGTACATTGCATATAAACGTGCTGTCTCAGTTGTGCTGTGTGTGGATTTCTGCTACTTCAGGTTTTAGCAACATTTGACTCAGAATCTGATGACTGGTGGTTGTTTGTTGATGTTGCCCTGGGGAGGCAGGTTAGCTGTGTTCTAGTGTTTAACTGATATTATATAGTACTTAATAAAAACTAAGAATAGTTTATTAATTTATTTTACTTTAGTAATTAATTAGTCTTGCTTATTTACTCAAGAACAAAATGCATGTTACACAAAAGTACTTGAAGGAAAAAAACATCCATTAAATGTGTTCATGTATGAAGCTGCTGTACTTCATATCAGTGTGTCACACTGAGTAACGGATCAAACCGAGTTATCAGAAAGCTATGGCTTCAGGTTTTCCTTTTTCATTTTTTATTAAGAGCCTCATGGAAACAGCTTGCTTGCAGGACAGATTTCTGCCAGACTTAGTTGAAGCTTGGTATTTTTGCAGGTCCTGCTAAATGCAGAAATATGAACTATATAAATGGAGTATGGCAGAGCTACAGTCGGTTCCTGACATCGACATTCAGAGGCCGTCTTCTTAGCGGTGATCACTTCAGGCTTTGGTTTTCAGCCTGCTTTTGCCAAAACCCAGGACAACATGCAAGAGTCTATATACTGTACCACAATACAAAGTCATACATTCTTATTAGTATTTATAATATTACTGGCTTCCATTGCTGTGGAGCTAGTGTGTCCAAATCAGTCCTCCTGGCCCTAGTTAAAAGAAACAGAAGTAACAATTTCATCTATTTCCCAGGTCATTAAAGCTACATGCCAAAGAAACCCTTCCTTCCTTAAACTCAGAGCAAAGCTCCCTGGCATTGAGCACTGTGAAACCAACTACGTCAGTTGCAAATCTCCATCTTTACAGTAATGTTATTCAGTAGTAGTTTTAGGCTATGTTCATGTTACCTTATGAAATGGTCCAAAGTCTGAGTTTCTCTGGTAGTGGCTCAGATCTGTTCTTTTCGCAGATGTGTAAACAAAGCATATCAGATTACTTTCATACCGGTTCTTGGCCACTTGTACTGGATATCTGATCCATTTTCTGACCATGTGGCCCCTGTCGGAATGGTCAGAATTAATGTTTTTTTTAACCTGTCAGTCGTCTGCACATATCGCCTGTTGTCATCATTCAGTGTTGTCCCCTCACAGACCAGTAAAAATAAACAACGAGAAGAGCAACAGCAGTGATTCAGTGAAGAGGACATTTCAAATTTCTTGGATATTCATGGAGAAACTTCTCTTCAAGTCAAACTGGAACGAACATATAGTAACTGAGCAGTTCTTGAGGAAATTTGGCCATTTGACTGTTACACAAATGAGTTTGTTGGTATTCCTGTACTCACATGGCCGTCACACACAGAGTTGGATGCACTCACAAACATAAATGTGAACCATCAACATAAAAAGACTGCATCTGATACAATAAAAATTGAATTGAGTATTAAGGCCTGTGATGTGAAAGTCGCCTTAAAGCGCTATGTTTTATCGAGGATGACTTTTCCTATTTATTATGCACAGTTTAAGCCTAATTATAGGATTAATTACTTCAAGAGATGAAATGGGTTTTGCAGTTACAATTCACTTCCTGTGCTAAGTGCATACACTGAAATTATTTATTTTCTTTTAAGAACAAGACAATTTCTGCAATTTATCTTTTTATAGAAACATTTGAGATGTCTGGCAGATGCAGAGCCTGACCTCCAAAAGACTTCCCTTCAACTCTGAACCCACTGCCCCCAACCTTCCACCCTTCTATTTGTGAAGGAGGCAGACAATGGAGATACTGTGAGGAAGTACATGAACATGCCCCATTTAATATTAAAGTGAGCAGAAGTATGTCATGAAATAATGTGTAATAACTTTAAATGAGTGGCATCTGAAGATGAAGCTCTAATTAGACATGTCATATGACATGGTAGGGGTTTTGTTTCTGTCATCGTAGTGTCATTGAGACTCATGAATGCAAAGGCTTTAACATCTAAACAACAGACAACAGTACAGTTTACAGCATATGGCACCATAATAAGCTATAATGCTTGATTTATTTAGTAGGTTTTGTATGTCTTACTAGGACATTTGGAATTAAATTATTTTGTCTGTATGGAAACCCAAAGTCATCCATATTAAATAAATTAACAAGGCATTATAGAACAATCCTATGCATAAATACAGGTAAAATACCCATTAATATTTATAACAGTACTGTATGTTTAAAAAAAATCAGCCCATTATTGTGAATTGTGATCTTTTTCCTTCTTTCTTTTAGAGTAAAAAATTATTGCAGGTTGCATTTTGATTTGATTTTTAGTTTTTATTTCAAAAACCTGAAAAAGCAGCATTACAAAATAGAACAGTTAATCACTTAATCTGTCCTTTGTGTTGTGATGCAGAAGGTTTTGGTGTGGAGGTCAGAGTGGCTGAGGAGAGTGGAGCACATCTGATTTTCATGTGGGAGGCTGCTGTTCACTTACCAGCACCACAATACAATTGATTGATGTTTGCTTTGATTAATCTTAGCCACAATCTTAAATTAACCTTAATTAACCAAGTCTTTTAGTTTTTTTTAACACTAGCCATAGTTTATTATCCATGACCAGGATCTTTCTCTAACTTTAACCAGACCATAGTTCCCATGTGCAGATTTTACAGGAAATTTTTTTTTAAAAACGTTATCATTTAACTTAATTTGAGGCTTTGGTCATCAGATCACAACCTCTTGTCAGGCAATAAGGTTGCTTTAATCACTCATGTAATCTTAACAAGTCATGTGACATCAAGGTGTGAAGGACCCATGCACCCACCTGTGCACAAGCCTGAAAAAGGGCTGTGTGCACAAAAGGGTTACGTGTGGAGGTTAGGTTTCATGGCAGCTCCCAACTTGGCTGTAGCTGCAGCCGGAAGTGTTTAAACTTTGGGAAATGAAATGGATTAATTAAGTGTTTAGACCCTAACACTCATAACTTTGTGCAATAATAAATGTCAAAATCATAAATATGTAAAACAGTAAATATCAGCATTTCATTGCTATATTGTGCAGATAACTGTGTCGTTCACCAGGCCCGTCTACACTTAACAGCTCTGCGCACATACACTACACTAACATTTGGGCATAAATTGTAACTGCACTGTTAAATCAAGTCAAAAGTTGTTTATATAGCACTTTAAAAGAATAGCATGTTGGCCAACACACGTCACAGTTATAAAGTAAATAAGAAACTAGATAAAACAATAATTAAACTAAAATACAAATAAGAATGAAATGCAGCCACAAAAATGAGTAACCTCCACTAGGAATCATAGGCCGAAGCAAACAAATAGGTTTTTAGAGAGGATGACAGGTCAATGACAAATCTGCAATTTAAGGGTAGGGAGTTCCAGTCTCGGGGCTGCTCCTAAGAAAGTGCGATCTCCCCATTAACATTGTTTAAATTGTTAACATCTTAAAATGGGTTATACCATTTGAACTATGAGGTTTTCTGCTTTCTAATGATATATAGTTTGTCAAACTTTATTTGGAACAGGGCAGTGCTTTAGTATTGCTTTGTGTTCTGTGTTTTTGATTTTACAGCACTCTAGTGCACTCGCAAGCTGTAGAGCGCTATATAAATAAAGTTTATTATTATTATTATTTTTATTAATCAAAAGTAAATGCGAAATGTATTTTGTCAGCCCACAAGCGGTTCATGAGCACATCCAGTAGAAGGTGTTAAATGCCTGGAACTTCCCCCCGGTGAGGCCTGGTGGATGAAACAGCTTTGAGACTAAGAACCTTTGATTCACTACCTGTGTTCACAAGACCCCATTTCCACATGTGATCTGTACTGGGACACATTAATAACATCAGTTCCACAGGCCTTATTAAATGCTATATATTAATAAGTGTTTGCCTTATGCCAGTTGTGTCTGCACTGTGAACAGATCTCAGTGTTTACATTCTGCCAGGCAGCTTAAGCTAGCTGGGAGAGACCGCGTTCGATGACCTTTCAAATTGCTGAGTGGGTTTTTTTTTCCCTTCAGAATGTATAATGCTTTAAGGATCGTATGTCCACCTATAATCTGATCACAGATCACAGATCAAGTGTAGTCTGATCACATTCTGATAGCAGTGTGTTCTGCATGCATTTACACCACACCATTAACATGTTTCCTTATCCAGCAAGGATATCAGATACACATGGCTTGTTAATGGCAGGTGAATAAGGGATATAAATAATAATAATTTTGCAATTTACACAATGTTGCTGGAGAAATTTCAGTTCTACCTACAGCACATCTGGGATTGCGATGCTGCAGAAGTCCTGGTTGGTCCATTTCTTTCACTCTGAAATGATTCAAGACCCTTCAAGTATTTTCAAAGCCAACACCTTGAGGAGGCTTCACAGAGCCCTTTGAATAAGAACCTAGCACAAACACCACTGCCTGATTTTCAATGCCAATAACACTGACTATTTGTACATGATGCTGGCTGCAGAGCAAACAAATGATTTCTGTAGTTAGCTGAAGGAAACAACCTCTTCACTGAGCTACGTCAAGCTTACTCACACG